ATTAGGAAAGCTGATTCTTGTACAAATTCACAAACTCCAAGAGCTTAGGAAGCAAAACTCCCAGACAACATGAGATCAGTGAAAAATTGACAGGGCTGCAGTACTGGAAGTGAGGTGTATGGCCCAGACTTCAGAGCAGAAAAGACTAAGTATAGGAGCTATCAATTGATAAAGACCTGTACAAAAATGCACTCCTCTCACACACGGAAACCATCCCTTTGTGCAGCATCCCAAGAACTGGTCCCTTCTGCAGTGGTGACTCTGTGACCCTGCCGACTCTGCAGCCCTAGCTGAGCTGGGAAAAGGTGGCTTATTGCCCCTGTTACCATGCTCAGAAAACAAACCAACCCCCACACTAGCAACCTGCACACCTCTTGGCAGCATGAGCTACCCCCAAGGGAAGTAAAGCTGAATGAGTAGCTCCCACCCACTCTGCTTCGAGAGCTTCACCTTCAGGTATGTGCTGAAATTTCGGCAGTTAATAAAAAAAACACCACTGTCCAGAATGCAGTGGTCTTTCAGAGAGGAGAAAACAGTTTAACTCAGCTTACTTATGAAGAAGGAATGAAGTATCGTTCAAGAGACTTATTCTGTCAAGTAGTTAAAAACAGACAACCAGAAAAGGTTGCCAAAGTACACAGCATCCAGGAAGGGGAACTGAACTCATAGTGGCAAATGAGCCATTAATTTAATAGTTAATTATCTGAAAACCTCAAAGGACAAATGGGAGTCACTGGAAGAGAATCCTGGGAGACTGGAAGCAAGTGGAACAGAAATCCTTATCAGCCTAGTGAGTGGAAGAGGACTTGGTCATTCCCTTCTCGCTGCCAATGCTTAATCCCTTTCCCCTTTCCAGCTGTCACAAAGTAGGAAATAAAGACAAATTCTTCAGTTGCTGCAAATCAGTGCAACTCCTCTGAACACAGCTAGACAGATCCTCAGTTGTGTAAATGGGTGTAGCTCAATTTATACCTGCTTGGGATCTAGCCTAAAGAATTTTAATATATGTCTCAGGGTTAATAACCTCCACTGTTGTTGGTAATAACACTGTGCTTTGATGTCTATTTTATGCAAGCTAAGAGACCCATCATGCATGCAAGCAGCTGCAGGAGAATTAGACAGCTATAGAGAGCAAAAAATGAAGCTAACCTCTTTCCTAGTTCATTGCGTCCCATCATACCAGATGGAAGAATCCTCTTCTCCTTTGGGACCTAAAACAAGGCAGAACAAAGAGTTTGTTTATTGTTAGATTTTATTAATGGAAAACAGAGGCAAAATTAGCCTCGTCTGTGTAGCAAGTGAAGTCTCACAGATAAAACACTGGATGAATAATAAATACCGGGTGAGGTGTTAAGACCTGGGCTCTCTTTCTGGTTCTGCCATGGATTCCCAAGGTAACCTTAGGCAAGCCACATCATTTTGTTCTGGGAAGGACTTTCAAAAGCACCCAAGTGAATGGGAACATCAGTCCTATTGGTTTCAATTAGGGCTAAATCATATCCACATTTCTTAAAGCCCCATCCTGCAGCAACACTGGAAAAATAAAGACGCTAGGGTCTGCAAGGCACCTAGCTACTCCAGCTCCATGTCTCTCAAAGCATTCCCGTTTCTTATATGAAAGCTGTTGGGTAAAAAAACCCACCAGGCTGAGACTCAAGACACCCAGGTTCAGTTTTCCAGCCTGTTCTGGGTTCCCTCTACAGTATAATGGTATTTTGTGCCTCGGTTTACCATCTGTGCACTGGGGAGAATAGTGGCACTCTATGCCTGGGGGTGTGATGAGGTTCATTGCATAAACAACATGGAGAGCTCAGGAGATGGGTACCCTCCTAAGGTGGCTGAGCACTTATTTTACCTTCACGCTTCTCCTCTGGGACAAACTCCCCCAAGACACCCAGCTCCAATGGGAACGTACCATGTAGTAGTCATAGAGGAGGCTCAGGGCAGCCACGCTGTCATCATCTCCGTTCACCCTCATCATAGCTTTGGTGGCTGCAGTCAAGGGGTTCTCCAGGTAGGTTTTCCAGGCTTCATCTTCATTGGTATAGGGGAATTTCTGGAAGTTCATGGTGTCATTCTTCATCAGACGCACAGATCTAAAACTGAGCCAGACAGAGGAAATGGAATGAAAGATAGTAATTTTCCACAGCAATTTCCATGCCGCCCAGCTGAACACATGAAGGGCTTCCCAAAGGCACTGCTGGAATGGAGAAGGGATGCTTTCCTGGTTCTTAACTCCCAGAGTCTTTGGGATTACCAATTCTTCTGCCTGTAGCTATGTACAAAATTAGGCCAGAGTCTCTCTGGTGGGGCCATGCGGAGTGGCAGGCGTACCCCTGTTTCCCTCCTCCTGCCCCAGGGATGCCAAACACCACGACATCGTCTGCAACTGCCCCTTCCTCAGCAAGCACATGCTACCAGCCAGCCACATCATGCACCGCCAAGGTGGGATGCTGGTCAGTAACTTGAATGCAACGTGATCGGGAGACTTTGTAAAACTTTTCCTTGAATTTGGAGCTAAAGGCCAGTGCAGCCCACAAAATGTAAGTGATCACTCAGTGTTCAGAGAACTTGACTTACCCAGATGAAACCAAACCCCGTCATTTTTCTTTGCTGTAGTTCATGGGTTTTAAATTTAGTTCCAACCTAACTTATTTTTTTTCAGTCGTTTGTATATGATTTTACTTAGAGGGAAGTAGACAGGCAGATCACAACACCCTCCCTTCCACTAAAAAATTCCTGACAAAGGTGAGGCTCATGGGACTACGTGAGCTGAGAAGCAACATACCAAAATAATGCCCTGCCTGTCCTCTCTTCTGGCACTTTCTCCAGGTCTCTCCATCTTATGTTAATAAACTGTCAGACACTTAATTACCCAAACATTGGTCATCTTTCCTTTTCCTCCAGCAAATCCTACTAGCAGCCAGCACAGAAGCGCCTCCACGCATTCCCTGGGTGCTCCGTGCTGCAGGTTCACCCCGCTCAGAGGAGAGGATGAATCAGTGGCCATACTCCTGTCACGTCCTTCAGCCACGTGTATATGGTGTCACCACAACAGCTCATATTATTCATCATAAAAAACAAGCTTTGTGGACAAAAATTACTTTTTCATGAAAATGGAAACTTCCTGAAGGGCAGACCAGTTTTTATTAGCGGAAGAAGTTAAAAAAAATTGTAAGAAGAAAGATTTCTTTAAATCTCCAAAGTTGCCAAGAGCAGAACTTTTTCAATTGCTGATTTTTTTATGGAAAGGCAAAGAATATCTACAGGAATTTAGGTAATGAATGCTACATTTTAATGGCATTTTTATAAGGAATATGTTGTTTCCATTAAGCTACTCTCCATATGTTTATATGGAGTCTAGCCCATAAGTCCTGGGCTAGACTTTTAAGTGAATCATTTGGAGAACAGTAATTGCTCTTGAAAGGAATCTGGCATCTCTGAAACTCCCAATTATTGCTAACCACGACAGATACTGCCAGCCCGTTTGGTGTGAGCTGCCCACGCTGACAGGGTGAAAAACCAGGTGCTCAGCGGATGCTCCTGGGTTGGAAACTGGAAGGTTGTGGAGGTGGACCTTGGACGGGGTGAAAGATGCTGGTCCATCCTCCCTGGCAGCTCAACTAAGACGGCTTTGCTCCTGCACGTGCACCGATCTCTCACACTGCCATGTCTCCAGCAGGGAATACACATATAAACCGTGCATGGATAGTTTTGGTGATGCTCCCGGATCAAACTCAAGAGCCCTCCTTGGCTGAGCAGAGTGGCAGCCCTGTAATGGTACACAGTCTCTCCCAGAGCAGCACAAGGGCCATCAAGGGCTGCCTCTGCTGTCCTTGTCACCTTTTTATTAAAGAATATGTTGCTTCCACAGAGAGTCCCTCCACATCCGAGCAGCACAGCAGAGAAGCTGGTAACAGCTCTGCTAATGGCCTGAGGCACCCAATTCCCACTGGTTTCTATGCTCACGTGGCGGCAGGCGCCTGAGCTCAGGTTGGTACGGAGAGCAGCTGCTTCCATATCATGGTTCTGGCCACCGCCAGCTCCCATCACACGCTGGTATAACAGAGATGCTGAGCTTGCTCCTCTTCTCCCTCACACATCGGGATGATGCACTAACACCAGTTTCACCCCGCGCATGAAACTTCACCAGGTGTTTTGTGAGTTTCGTTGTCTTTAGCGTTTCTCACGCAGCCCTCCCTCCCCTTCAGTGCCGCTGCTGTCTCCAAGGCGAGCAATCGGCATGACTCAGATTTCACTGCTGTCGACTTGGCGATGGGCTGTTCAGTCCTGTCTGGACAGGAATCCTCACCCGTTCTCAATCCGATCTTCTCAAGGAAGAATAGGCAGCAACAGAGCTTGCTCTCAGGGTGAGACTCAGCTCCTATCACTTGTAATCAACATAGATAAACACACCATGGTAAGATGTAGCAACAAAGCATTCAGGAGCTTAAAAAAGCACAGATATTACAAGTAAAAATGCTTTGGAGCTTTATTCTCCCTCACCCAAGCCCTCAGCTGAAGCACTCCTTCTTGTATGACTCTGTTCTGCCTCCCTGCCTCATCACTTTGGCGCAGCACAACCACTGTATGCATGAGCAGCCGATGTTTTAGCATTTTATCACCTGGTCTGCAATCTGTAGGCAGAGGGAAGTTGAGGGGGGGCTTGAGATCTCAACCTCTTGCAGCTGTGTCCAGTTTATGAAGAACATAAGTTTGTATTGGTCCCAGTAAGCTTACACTGATTCACCCAGGTGAAGACTTGGACAAAGGCGGCACAATGGGGATCGCACATTTATTCCATCTTGTTTCTTTTCCAGAGTTTGTATGATCCCTAATAGTCATTGAAATATATTTGAGTGGAGCCAGGTGAACCGCCTCAGATAAAACTCTGCAGCTAGGACAGCTCTGCAGATGAGATGTAATGCAGATTTCATCCCATCTTACTTTTCCAGAGAGGTCTGCTCTGCTCTGACCCTATTCCAGATCAACAGGGCTAACCAATATCTGAAGAAAGAGGGTGATTTGAGGAGATAAGCAGATATGATGACATGTTTAGAGGCACCTTTTTGACATCAGATGCATTTCAGTTCATGCAGCTACAGCATACTGTCACGTCAGTTTGCTTCTACAGCCTACTTTCAACTCAGCATTAGCAATCTCTGTGAAGTAGAGATGCAGGAAAGAGGCATCCAAATCCGGATCCAAACACCCGTGAACTTTACTTTCATCACTCCCTGTGATGCCCTTTCCATGTGGCTACGCCATGTTTGTCCACTGCAAACTGTCTGCTCTCTGTTTGGCAAAACAAACTTTCCTTTCACAGGCAGTCGCCTTGGTGCAGTGGCTCAGAACAAAGTGAGGATCGGTTAGTGAAACACAAACACGTGGGACCAGCGGCCTCCCTTCTTGTGTGCACAGACTCACCCCGCTGGAGCCTCAGGGTCATGTGCAAAGCAGTGCATGATTTTGGGTAGGGAGCAGTCTATTTGTTTCCAAACAGTTTAGAATTTGACACAAGGTGATACCAGCCCCCTTTCCCCGCTCCATCCCACCCAATCTCTGTTTCCCCTATTTATCTGCCAAGTCTACCATAACAGTGGCCTCCTGATTATGAATAAACACTCAGGGCTATGCTGAAACAGGATAATACGCCCAAAGGGTCTATCTAGGTGGAGAGATCAGCCAAGCAGGAAAGAAACGCTTGTATTCCTTTTGCCTTTTGTTGGGTTTCTGTGGGTGGTTTTGCTGGCCTTTAAGCTTTGTGTTGCTTGTCTTTGCTCTCTCCCCTATAACTGATTAGGCCTCCAACCTAAATATTAGCCATGCCAGATGCTGATGGCTACAGAGAAACATCACATTGTCAAAGGAGCAGAGAATCCATGGCAACCAGCAGCAGGAATTCAAAGCCACAGAATAAAGACCCCGGCCCACAGGACTTCAGAGATACCCGAGGCAGTTCAAGCGGGGGCTTTCATTAGCTCTGGCTTTGTGCACTGCACTCACCTCCCTATTGAAATAACCCTGACATTCCCCAAGAGCCTCTTATCAGTAATATGGGGAAGGATCAACGCTACACTCGAGAGAGCAGGACCGATGAAGAGCAGCATTTACCATGACTGCTTTCTGGGGTAGAGATTTTAGCCTGTAAACCAGGCCCCCTTGCCAAGGAAGAACAGCATCCCACAAAGCGGCCTCATTACTAAATCCAAACTTCTCAGCTAAATTCTGATTTTACCCTATCTTTGCAAGTTTAATAAATAAGCACATCTGAAGACAATGTGACAGTACAGCCACCAGTAAGAATACTGCCACAGGCCCATTCACACAGTCAGGCCAAAATCCAGACAGAGGCAGAACCAGGGAAAAAAAAAAAAAACACAAAAAGAAACATAACAAACACATGGATTAATGATGAAAAACATTGCCTAGATGCCAAGTACAATACAGTGTCGATCCACAGGCATCAAAAGTGTAGGAGACCACTAATCTCGTGGACCCTGACCTGCACTGCCTACAGGATTGAAGTATTTTCTCTGGCAGCTGGATAACAATGTGGTCTCCGTCACTGGATTTCTTCAGGGGCATTTCAGCAGCACGATCAGCCTCAGGGTAGTGCAGTATGTTAACTTAGCACAACAGCTAGATGTTTCCTAGCCATCCCTCAGCTCTGTTTCACCCACAAAGATAGCACATGAGCCTCTCTTTTTACTGGAAGCACGTGGCCTGTGTGGCACATGCATGAGACAGGCTAACCCCAAGTCCTGGTTTCAGCTGGGATAGAGTTAATTTTCTTCCCAGTTGCTTGTGCCGTGCTGTGTTGTGGATTTAGCATGAGAATAATGTTGATAACACACCGATGTTTTAGTTGTTGCTGAGCAGTGCTTACACTGGTCAAGGACATTTCAGATTACCATGCCCTGCCAGCGA